TTTTTTTTTCCAAATAATGTCAAGGTAACACTCATTTTACTTTGAAAACGCACACATTGAAAATGACATGAACATGACAGTGGGCAAATGGATAAAGTGCAGCATAGTTTGAAATCATGAGTTTAAAGTTTGTCGATCGTGGGCCTCCAGTGCAGCTGAACTCTCCTTCTGCCAGCATTCAATTGGCACAGACCAAACGTCACACAGAGAACACGCGATCATGCAGGATACAAATGCATACTTTATAAGCTCTCACAGCTGGATCCAACTAAGTCTGCAAGGTTTGTGAAATTAAATGTTTATTAGACATTCAAAGATCTGTTTAAATGATATAAATGCATATTTGCTGAATGCTGACGGTAAACGAGAAAGTATTATGTTATCCTTTGTTATTACTAATAATATAAAAGCAATCATTATAATACTTTTTGTATACCTTCTAATTCCTCCTTTTAACAATCTATCTGATTAGACAGACTTCTGTCCCTATTTAAAAAAACTGTTAAGCTCAGGTGCTGCCGTTCTCAGCGCTGTCAAAATAAGAGTCGTTCCTCAAACACATTGGCCGATGTTTGAAAAATGTCAAATATCGGCCGATATATCGGCCTTGGCATTATATCGGTCATCCACTAGATGTAATGTAACAAAGTAATAATACTTTGTTACAGTACTTAAGTATTTTTTTGGGAGAATCTGTACTGTGAGTTTTTATATTTCTGCCAACTTTCACTTTTACTCCACTACATTTCCTAATGCTAGATTGCAAGAAAGCAGGTTTGACGAATCAGAGGTCTGGTGCTTGCAAGTTAGACTCCTAAAAAAACAAGTGCTCCCACAGTCGAGGATGATTTCATTTTCCACTCAAATCGAGGCACAATAAAATCTGCTGCGATAATATAGTAAGTGTTGTTGTAACGAAAATTTGATATGGAGTTATAGCGTCTGGACCAATCAAACACACAATATATATTTTGTTAGCTATATTTAACAAATACTCTGTAACAATCTTTATGCCGGCTTGTGATGGAACCACTCGTTTCCGTCATCTTACCTATATGTAATCCTTCCATGTTTAGTATCTATGAATTAGTCTTTTGATGATCTAAACGAGAGTGTATATTATATGTTGGCATATAGGCAATATATTAGTGTCTTGAGAATCTTTAGTAATTTCGATTCAAGTTCCATATGCAAATTACCATGCTTCCACACAAAGGGTCATAAACTCCCCAGTATTTCCAAACTCCCACTAAGTTACGATTAATTATTCATATTTCCCCGTGAGCTGATTCGCTAGAGAGTATATCACAAAAAATACACACAGAGAGTGCACTCGTATATTATCGCATATCGTAAACAGACTTCAACTTCTACCAAAGTCATTTGACCGGTGAGATAGCTGTACTTTTACTTAACTGTGGCTTTCAGGTACTTCATCTACAACTGGTGGGAAATGAATCTCTTGTTTACATTGTATCTGCATTTGGTTGTTTATGAGGAGAGTATCAGTGAGATTCTACAAATCAGTCACTGAGCGTGTGCTTAAAAAAACCATGCATTTTTAGCAAATTTCTTCATCACCAGTGACTAATCTAAATTGGCCACTGCATTCATATGCTCAACAAAAATGTGAGATTGGTTATAATGCTCAACTCCAAAAAAATTAAGTTTCCGACCCCGTCTCAGAAAACCTTTTTAAATGGACTGCATAGGACTTTTCAAATTTGCTCCACCAGCCAAGTAAACCCAACTCTGACTTATTGACTTGTACTCGCACCGAACACTCTAGTTTGTACTTCATCTACAACTGGTGGGAAATTAATCTCTTGTTTACATTGTATCTACATTTGGTTGTTTATGAGGAGAGTATCAGTGAGATTCTACAAATCAGTCACTGAGCGTGTGCTTAAAAAAAACCATGCATTTTTAGCAAATTTCTTCATCACCAGTGACTAATCTAAATTGGCCACTGCATTCATATGCTCAACAAAAATGTGAGATTGGTTATAATGCTCAACTCCAAAAAAATTAAGTTTCCGACCCCGTCTCAGAAAACCTTTTTAAATGGACTGCATAGGACTTTTCAAATTTGCTCCACCAGCCAAGTAAACCCAACTCTGACTTATTGACTTGTACTCGCACCGAACACTCTAGTTTGAGCTTTGTCATTGTGACAAAAACAGTAGAGCTAAATATTCATATTCATTCATGACACCCATAGTAAATAAAATACACTAACCTTCCTGTAGCATTTCAGGGACATCAGCCTGAAAGCGTGGACCAACACGAATCTCCCCCTTGTCGGCCAATAGCGTCTTCTGTGTGGGGTCGTACACCAATGAATAAAAAAATGTGTCCTGAGAAAGAGAGAGTGAATGCAGCAAACAAAAATGTACTTAAATTAGACATCTATTCAATTTAAGATTCAAAACAGCATTTAAAGTAAAAACTTGTATACCTCTTTCTCCAGGTAGGAGAGCACAGCTTCTGTCTCGTTCAGGAGGGCAACACTGCACTTCCCCCTATTTCCACGACCCCAAAAGAAAAAAAGATAATAAATGATTAAGCACGCAGCCCCATGTGTTATGTTCTGCATCCAGCTGTCTCCACAGATCCTCTAATCCACAGCACAGTAAAACGGGGGAGGAAGGGGGAGACACTAGGTGCAAGATTACAGAAGAACGTGTGAGTGTGTGATGGTGACATGAGCAAAGATGAAAAGGTGAGAAAAGAGCAGATGGGTGAGAGGACTATAATAAAATTCAGGAAATTAAAGGAGAAAGGGCACAGACAGGAAACAGATAAGAGACAGACACAGACAATGAGAAAGCGCCGAACAAAAACATTATAGAGCTATTGAAGAGTGGAAAACTGATGCTAATCACTCTGTGCTCCTCCGAATGAGCATTTAACTATGAACACTGCCACGTCTACATCCAACCTGCACTCTTTGGGAAGCGACTTTGAAACTGAAGCTTGCCAAGATACTAATTTAAAGGTGCAGTGCCACCAAACAGCACAAACAACTGTGTGAAAGTAAACAGACTAGCTTTATTACACTTTTATTTGAGCAGAATATCTCAGTAGAATTCATGTTTACTGATGTTTTCAGCTCATCAGCACTTTTTCCATAATGTAGATAGAGTGTGCACATGGTTGCTGGGTTGGGAAGCTTTAGTAAACCACTAGGCAGAAAATGTATTGAATTTATGAAAAATTGGGATTTTGATTAGGGGATTTAAACTCTTGAAATCTGGCAATCACAACCATGAAAGCATGTGGAGGTTAGTAAGATAATGCAAATGCCAAATGTAAACTAAACATTTTCAGGATAAATAGTCAGCGGGCAAATTTTGGAAATTATTATGTTTAGTAAATTGAGAGAAGCAAAAAATGTGATCATGATTAAAATATGATTCATTGTGCAGTGTTTTTGTCCATACAAGTCAAGGGTTTTCAGTGGTTTTGTGTTCCACAAGAGAAAACAAGTTATACAGGTTTGCTAAAAACATAAGGGTGAGTAAATGACATTTGCATTGTGCGAACTATTGCTTTAAGTAATTAAAATATATTAGCCACACTATCAGATAATAAAATGTAATTAACTACACTGAATGACAATATCTTTTTAAATTACAAGCCTAATTATCAGACATATTTGGTAAATTTAGTATTTATCACACTAAATACTTTGCAAAATGCAGTGCATCAACTGTCAAACATTTAAATAATTTAATTTAAATGAACTTTCTGAATGATTGACAAACAAATCAGACATCCCCGTGCTCTAATAGGACATTTTAGGGAAGTGGTTCTCATCCAGCGGGTTTCATATAATTTCCAGGGGGGCCCCAATAAGTCCTAATTAAAAAAAAATATATATATATATTATATATATATATATATATATATATGAAAAACTTGTTGCATCTTTCCCAAAAAGACTCATGGCTGTATTAGATCAAAAGGGTGCTTCTACTAAATACTGAGCAAAGGGTCTGAATACTTAGGACCATGTGATATTTCAGTTTTTCTTTTTTAATAAATCTGCAAAAATGTCAACAATTCTGTGTTTTTCTGTCAATATGGGGTGCTGTGTGTACATTAATGAGGGAAAAAAAACTAACTTAAATGATTTTAGCAAATGGCTGCAATATAACAAAGAGTGAAAAATTTAAGGGGGTCTGAATACTTTCCGTACCCACTGTATATATATATATAAAGTTTATGTTTATTTATTTAGAAGGCACCAATAAACTGCTTCTTCTTGGACAAAGTAGCTCATCACTGAAAAGGTTACTGTATTTTGAAAACAACCGAGCTATTTAAAACCTCATTTGTGATTGGTTGGAAAACAATAGAGTCCAGCCTAAGAGACAATATTTTAACATTAAAAAATGACCATTGACGAATATAATATCAGTTACTCAAATTCAGCCGGTGCATAAATCACAATTAAGACTAGGGTTGGGAATCGAAAATCGATTCCGATTCCAGAATCAGATACTTGTCAAATTAAAATTTTGATTCTGCCTATCGATTCCTATGGGCTTTTTTTTTTTCTTCATCTGTGAGGACCAGGACCTTGCTCGCTAATCTAAAGCTGCGTTCACACTAGCAGCGATTTTGTCGCTGCATGTCGCCAGAGGCTGGCGATGAGGTTGCTAGTGGGTGTTCTCACTATTGGTTGCCTTGACAGCGAATCAGGTTTCTTGCCGCTAAATACAAAAAGTTTGGAGGCAAAAGACTAAATATAATATAAAGACAAAGTCGCTGCTAGTGTGAACGCAGCTTTAGCGCTCCAAGTTTGGCTACATTTGCGATCAGACGCCAAAAAAACCTAAGTATAATTTCTGTGATAGCTAAACATGTTGCAAGAGAGGTGTCAAGACAAAGTCGCTGCTAGTGTGAACGCAGCTTTAGCACTCCAAGTTTGGCTACATTTGCGATCAGACGCCAAAAAAAAGCTAAGTATAATTTCTGTGATAGCTAAACATGTTGCAAGAGAGGTGTCACCACCAACATGACAAATCACTTTAATAGGTGATCGTTAAAGTTTGCGAACACGATTCAAACACCAACATGATTCTATTCCTAAATTACAATGATTCGTCTGTTTCATTCCTCAACCTTTGACGTGTGCGATCAATGTTGTGATCACTTGTTGGATTGTCCGTGCAGAGTACGATCACACCAGTCAGTGTGATTTGAACGTTTAAATTTGTGTTCGCACTGCCATTGACCTAAAGAGAGCAGCTGTCTGTAATGAATGAAACCGCTTCAGTCTTTTCAGCCACACAGTATCACCATTTCTGTGTTACAAACATTCAAATCACAGAAGTACTGGGATAAAAGTTTATAGTTCAGATATAAACTCTGATGTGTACGGTAGCGATTAAAATGAAGTAAATCACCTTTTGAAAGTAATTTGACACTTCAAATGAAGATTTGTCAATTACATTGTTATGCCAGTAGGTGGGCGAAAAGGGGCTGTTAAAATGTATTTGTCTTTGAATCATACAAGAGATTTGTTCAAGAACACGGATTCATCCAGCAATGAAACAAGTACATATTGTGGGAGTCATTGATTCATTTATTCATAAATTACATGTGATTTTGTTTAGTTGTCTAATGTTTTTTCTACAGAATCATGAGAACCACAATTTCCATTGGGGGGAAAAAAAGGGAGGAAAAAACGCGATTTATCCAGAATTATGCAGTTCTATTTTGCACACAAACAACTCTTAAAGAGTCTTGTTTTTATGTAGCCTGTTGATTTTTGTTCATGATAATTGATAAATTGATAAAAATTCAAACGATACCCAACCCTAATTAAGACTGACTCATTTGTATGCAGAATTTAAGTTGGCACATGAATTTTTCTTCTTTATTGGGAGACAGCTAAAAAAATGAATAAAATTGAACTCCATCTTGACGCGTCCAGTTCCACACAAAATACATTATCCCCTGTAAAGGCCAGCTAGCCTCCTACAATGACTGCTCAATATTTATGGATCACAGAAGCCAAAAGAAAAAAATGAAACAAAGAAAGAAAAAAGGGAGTGACATTTCCTTTATTTGGAGGCCAATATCAATTTCAGTGAGCACAGCAAGCCTCTCCAAACCTCGGCACCACCACTAATGTTTCTCATAGGAGGCTTCCCTTTGATTAGAACCACTGCCACCCGGCTCCAGGCTGCTAATGCATTTATCACCTGAATCACAGCGGGTGCTACAAAAGCCCTGGGGTGCCACCGGCCAGCTAAAGAATGGATGCAGAACTGTGACTCAAAGGCTGGGGTTGTGCTGTGCTATATGGGCGCTGTTATCTTACCTTAACTGCCCTCTGAAAATGTGAACTGAGGATTAAATGGCACGTTTCGGTCTATCAGATACTTAGAAACATATGGATGTGTGGGTTTACCTGATGTGTGTGGCGGGGAGGGATTCGTACTGGCGGGAAAGGAAAAGTTCTCTGTGGCGGAGTTGATGTTTCTGTTTTTCACTGAGTTCGGGCTCTGAGGGGCTTTCCTTCTCTTCATCCAGGTCCTCTGTATGCAGGGAATTAATAATTTGTCAAAGGCATGGACACACATACAGTATATAAATGAGAAAAACACGCATTTATTTTACAGACAGTTTGCATTAGTGGCCACATTAAAAGAGGAAACCAACCAAATCAGCCAAATGCAAATACTTTTTGCATACACAAAGCAGATGTTAAAGATGACAACCTTCGTTCTTATTGTCATTAGGGATGCTCCGATCAGGATTTTTGCAGCCGATACCGAGTACCGATTTCTTGTCATGGTGATCGGCCAATACCGATCCCGATTCTGATGCTTCAAGCTTTAGGGGGAGGTCACATTAGACTTTGAACGTCCAAAATGTTTTTCAGACGCCGCTGCGAATATGGGCGAGAGCAGGATATGACATCACGCACCAAGGTTTCCCCTCAGTTATCACAACATGGATTCCGATGTGCTTGTACTGTGTCTTTTGCGACGCCGTCGTAAGCGTCTGTCCCGCCGATTTTGATCGGTTGCTGCGTATGGTCGCTCCGTGACCATATTTTGCTTAAGTGTTATCTGACATAATTAAGAAATTTTTTTTCTGACACAGTTTAACTCTGAGATCTTGTCATTTTATTACCATTTCTTTTTTACCTAACGTTATAGTGAATAAACTGTATTAATGAATGAAATGTTCAAGGTGTCTGAATAAATTTTGGTTTGACTGTACATACATATGTACAGTCCTGTTTTTTTAATTTTTTGCATATTTGTCACACTTAAAAGATTCAGATCATCAAACAAATTTTAATATTACACAAAGATAACATGAGTAAATATAAACTGCAGTTTTGAAATTATGATTTCATTTATTAAGGGAAAAAAGCTGTCCAAACCTACCTGGCACTACGTGAAAAAGTAATTGCCCCCTAAATCTAATAACTGGTTGTGCCACCCTTTGCAGCAACAACTGCAATCAAGCATTTGCGATAAATGGCAATGAGTCTTTCACAGGAATTTTGGCCCACTCTTCTTTGCAGAATTGTTTTCATTCAGCCACATTGGAGGGTTTTTGAGCATGAATGGAATGTTTAAGGTCATGCCACAGCATCTCAATCGGATTGAAGTCTAGACTTTGACTTGGCCACTCCAAAACCTTAATTTTGTTTTTCTTGAGCCATTCAAGTGGCCACATTAAAAGAGGAAACCAACCAAATCAGCCAAATGCAAATACTTTTTGCATACACAAAGCAGATGTTAAAGATGGCAACCTTCGTTCTTATTGACATTAGGGATGCTCCGATCAGGATTTTTGCAGCCGATACCGAGTACCGATTTCTTGTCATGGTGATCGGCCAATACCGATCCCGATTCTGATGCTTCAAGCTTTAGGGGGAGGTCACATTAGACTTTGAACGTCCAAAATGTTTTTCAGACGCCGCTGCGAATAGGGGCGAGAGCAGGATATGACATCACGCACCAAGTTTTCCCCTCAGTTATCACAACATGGATTCCGATGTGCTTGTACTGTGTCTTTTGCGACGCCGTCGTAAGCGTCTGTCCCGCCGATTTTGATCGGTTGCTGCGTATGGTCGCTCCGTGACCATATTTTGCTTAAGTGTTATCTGACATAATTAAGAAATTTTTTTTCTGACACAGTTTAACTCTGAGATCTTGTCATTTTATTACCATTTCTTTTTTACCTAACGTTATAGTGAATAAACTGTATTAATGAATGAAATGTTCAAGGTGTCTGAATAAATTTTGGTTTGACTGTACATACATATGTACAGTCCTGTTTTTTTAATTTTTTGCATATTTGTCACACTTAAAAGATTCAGATCATCAAACAAATTTTAATATTACACAAAGATAACGAATAAATTTTGGTTTGACTGTACATACATATGTACAGTCCTGTTTTTTAAAATTTTTTGCATATTTGTCACACTTAGATTCAGATCATCAAACAAATTTTAATATTACACAAAGATAACCTGAGTAAATATAAACTGCAGTTTTGAAATTATGATTTCATTTATTAAGGGAAAAAAGCTGTCCAAACCTACCTGGCACTACGTGAAAAAGTAATTGCCCCCTAAATCTAATAACTGGTTGTGCCACCCTTTGCAGCAACAACTGCAATCAAGCATTTGCGATAAATGGCAATGAGTCTTTCACAGGAATTTTGGCCCACTCTTCTTTGCAGAATTGTTTTCATTCAGCCACATTGGAGGGTTTTTGAGCATGAATGGAATGTTTAAGGTCATGCCACAGCATCTCAATCGGATTGAAGTCTAGACTTTGACTTGGCCACTCCAAAACCTTAATTTTGTTTTTCTTGAGCCATTCAAAAGTGGACTTGCTGATGTGTTTTGGATCATTGTCCTGCTGCATGAACCAAGTGCACTTGAGCTTGAGGTCACAAACTGACGGCCGGACATTCTCCTTTAGGATTTTCTGATAGAGAGCAGAATTCATGGTTCCATCAGTTATGGTAAGTCATCCAGGTCCTGAAGCTGCAAAGCAGCCCCAGACCATCACACTACCACCACCATGTTTGACTGTTGGTATGATGTTCTTTTTATGAAATGCTGTGTTGGTTTTACGCCAGATGTAATGGGACACACGCCTTCCAAAAAGTTCTACTTTTGTCTGATCAGTCCACAGAATATTTGCCCAAAAGTCTTGGGGATAAACAAGATATATTTTGGCAAATGTGAGACAAGCCTTTGTGTTCTTTTTGGTCAACAATGGCTTTTGCCTTGGAACTCTCCCATGGAATGCCGTTTTC